ATCTGACATGACACGCAATTCGTTTGAATGTATTTCAAGTCAGATGAGGATAAATACGTTGCTGTCTCAGTGGGTGGAAAACAGGTGAGCCTACGGATTGCAGTCATACTTGTGTTTGGTGGTTTGCCATTTATGGTGTAGAACCCAAAATACTTGTTGGTTGGCTCAAATGTTAGGTGTGACATGGAAATGAAAACTTATTAACCTACTCATTCATTGTTTTGCATACTGTGGTTGACTCATAAATCCAGTCTTGATGATTCCTTTCCTGGATCAGACACTGGTTACACGGCGGCTTGGTGATGTCTCACCACTGGCGAGTGTGTGTGCAGTGTTGCTAAAGCCTTTTCCTGTTGCCTCAGTGCGGCTTTCCTGTGAGCAGGAGAGAATTGCCTGTGTTGGCACATCAAACGTTTTGTCGAACAGTTCTATTATACTGTAATAGGTTGTAAATTTTGGTGGTGGATGATTCACGTTAAAACTGTCCTTCATTTCTCGTCACCAGTTAGGACTGACTTCCCTGGAAATGTGACCAGGAGTTTATTCCTTACTCCAGGGTATTTGTCAATGTGTATGATAAGTGTATGTGTATGTGTGCGTGACAGTGTGTGTTGTAAATAGTTTGGATTCCATTGCTGTCCGAAGTCACACTTTCAGTTAACTCTTTCTTTTCTTTTTGTTTTTGAGTCCAGAGAGTTAAAGGTAGATGATGTCCTAGTTGTATACCAGCCCAAATACCCTGCTCTATAATGCTGACTCTGTGAGGATTATTATATTATTATATTCAATGTGACTAACAACCCACTTTGTTTCCAAACCTGACTTGTAGCTGGGTGGTTTGGCCCTTACAGCAGCCGCAGTGGGCTGTTTTGTCAAGTCAGGATTGTAGTGGGTGTTTGTTGAAAGCAAGTCATGTAAACTGATGCCTGGAGGTCGTTCCTGGTCACTTTGGGATTAGCTGGACTGAAAAGAGCTACATGCCACAAACCCTGAGCCTGCTGTGTCACAAACAAATGCATTATCCCGTTCTAAAGCCTGACTGACTTTTACTTTTTTCCCCTTTGTATTGAAACAATAAACCACAGATTCCTGCTTCTATGAGCATTACCATTAATGTAATCTGGATAATTTGGCAGGTACCGGTGCAGCCCACAAGTGCAACATCTGTAGTTCCACACATCTTATCTGTTGTGGCACTTCTCATCAGGTGAACAGTTTGTCTCGTAAAGTGACGGTGCCATGCTCCTTCCTGAATGTAATGACTGGTTAAGTGCAGTGATAATATCTGGCTTTATAATGGTTGCTATTGTGCAATAAGGACTGTAAGCCTTTTCTTTCAACATATTGACTCATCATGTGTGATGCAATCATGTGACAATACTGACAGGCTCTGTAATCGGATACAAAACTTGAATTTTATAAGTAGGTCATATTATATTAGTCTGTAATTTAAATATTAAACCAGAGTTGTTTTATATCAAACACTAACTCTTATATTAGAATAACACATGCATTAAAGTAAATTAATTATGAGTGATAAACTTGTAATAAAAGGGTATAATTTGTTGTATTAGTGTTAATAGTTGAAACATTTTACATATTCAGATATGTTTCCACAGTGCTCTAAGCGTTGTTCGTGCAACATCCTGCACTGTTAATGCTCAGTTCTTCAGTTGTGTGAAAATAATGCTGTTTTATCCTCTCATTTTCTCCACATTGTCTCACGAGAGACGCAGACGCCTAAAAGACTTGTCCCCTGATCTGAGTTGCTATGGAGTCCCTGGCAGCCTTCGTGTAGGCTTGGCTGTAAACATTTCAGGGTTGTTGTACATGGTTTGCTGCAGGTGCCGGCACTTTCTCCCTGTTTTTCTTTCCTTCTTATGCTTGGATTAAACTCCAAATGTTTGGACACGGTGCAGCTAATCTCATCCTCCACCGTTGTTTTTTGCCGAGCAGTATTCTGCTTATTTCAATAAATCCACCTCGTGAAATGTTTCAACTGAAGTGGGCTTATTCTCCTGCTTCATTTCTGCTTGACAGGATTCCACACGACAATAACCTGTTGGGCAAGTTGAAGTACAGAAAAGGGTCTGGGCGCACAGTAAACAAGGCGGCGAGCGGGAGGGAGGGTGGTGAAGTGGAGGAGGGGGACAGAAGGGGAGTTAAATCAGTCACTCAGCCAAAAAACCAGTGCCACGCCCCAGGTGCCAGGGCTAGTAAGAGCAAGCAACAGGAATGTGAGGGAAATGAATGGGAGTGTAAGTCCTGCCATTCACATGGTGAGTGCTTTCTTTTTTCACCTTTAGTCTGCACTACTTACCATATAAACATATCCCAAGGTACGCTGGGAGTCTGAGGAGATAAAATATGTCTCTGTTGGCTCCTGAAGTTTCAAACTTTATGCAGGATTTCTGATGTGAAGCTTGGGTTGTCTGGTTTAGAGTTAATCCTTTTGTTCACAATTAACGTGAGTGGACTGAGCTAACTTTGTGAAACTGCTAATGAGGTTGATGTATGTATGAAAATGCATTATTAGCAAGAGGTGATCTGATCAGCACTGACCACGTGAGCATGGCGTCTGTTGGCCTGAATGTTTTCCGTTAGGTTTCATCTGTTATTGCAATGATCACAGATGGGACTGAAAATTAAAGGTTGCCTCGATGGTCTGCACAACATTAGTGCACTCCGAAGATAAAATCAAAACATCACGTGGTGTGTGTGAGTCAGGACAGTTTATTTCCCATCTAATGGGACTGGTCATTTTTTTATTTTTTTATTTTCTCCCGTGTGAAAGGGATAGTGTTTTGTCACGTGTAAATAAATTACACTCTGTCTGCTTAAGGGGAAACAAATATGCAGCAAAATAAGATTTTTTAGTTTTTAAAAACGTCAAGGGACTGTGGAAACACTTTGAACAGGCCAGTCAGTGATTCAAGACCCACTGCTCTGAGAGAAGAGTACATATTTTCTGTCTGTGCGGTTGGCAATCTGTTTACTGGAAAGGCTGTGCGCTCCAAGCACATGTTGCTGCATGTGCAGTCAGTCAGTGAGCCCTGAGAAGACTGAAGAGCCAAAGTGTAAATGCAGGGGCAGAGAAAGTGTTTTTGTGGAGGCGGTGGTGAAGGGGGCGTTTGCGTGCGAATGCATGCACGTGTGTCTGTGATTTTGTTTGGAGGACCAGCAAAACCACACTAGAATCCTGTGTGTGTATATGTGTGGTTCAGTGTGAGTTATATGAGTTTGCTGAGCCCAGATTTAAGCTCCCTTTCTGGGAACCAGCATTCCCTGCTCTTCTAAAGCGAGCTGTAAGAGACTGGAGGGCTTTGGGAATGAAGAGGCATGGGCTGGTTTCAGTATGTCCCAGGTTTGTCTATTGTACACAGTGAGTGGTAACAATGGGAGGGTTAAGTATCTGATATACACACCAAACCCCGGGACTCAGCTGCAAGTAATTAAAGCTGGCAGTTGGCAGAGAAGAGAGTCAGGCGACTGTAATGGCCGCTCGAAGTTCATACCATAATATTTGGATGATGAATCAGGCTGCTAGTAAAAGTGTTGTCATGCTGTTGACCCAAGGCTTTCTCCCCTCTCCGTGTCCTGTCGGCCCTGAGGGAGGCACAGAGAGGAGAGAAAAAGGCTTTGTACGACCCTGCTGCCTGTTTGTAATGGGATCGGCTGTTTATTTGGTGTGCTGCAGCTTTCGACCTCATTAGTCCCCATCTGGTTTGTTCTTCCGCACGGTGTATATCTAGCACCAGTGTTTTATCATTAATCATATTGATAATATTGAGAGATGGCTATCATGGGACAGTGGATGTTAAATTTGATATAGTTTTACTTCAGTCTCAAAGATATTATATTTGCTCAGGTATACAAAAACATCATATATAGGGGTGGAATTAGTGTTTGATTGATCAGGTAATCATTTGGTTTTACTTTGAAAACATAATAAATACATAAGGTAAATTAATACAATGTTCATCACATTGTCTCCGAGTCATCAAATGCTTTGTCTTATCCGAGCAACTGTCAAAAGCCCAGATATGCTTAATTTACAATTATATAAAATTAAGAGAAACTAAAAGAAAAAAATTCCTTACCATCCATCCATCATCCATCATCCATCCATCATCCATCCATCCTTCCATCCATCCATCCATCCATCCATCTATCCATTCTGCTTTCCTTTCCCAATCTCAGCTGACGATGTAGGCTGGTTACACTCGCAGGTCGCCAGCATACTGCAGGGCCATCATACAAAGACAAAAACTATTTTAAATAATGTATCTATTATCAAAATAATTGCTCATTAATTTTAGAAATGATCAATTCATTTTACCTGATTTTATTAGTTGCAGCTCTACTCACAAGCCATCAAGCAGAAATCTGTTTTACGGTTTTGGGGAGTGTTATCATTGCCACTGATAACATAATGAACATAAAACCCTGACTGAAAATGGGCAAAAAAAAAGATGTTGTCCCTGGTCCTGCTACTGATTAGTTCACTTGACATTTCTTCCCACTCACATATCAAGTTAATTGTGCTTTGGGCTTTTGTTTACTTAAGTCAATACTGGTGACAACCCACAATTGCGTGGAGTGATTGTTGCATACTGGCAGTTGGATACAGAGTTTGGCAGTAGTGTTGTGGAAGCCCATTTGGCATCTGAACTGATGCTACTATTATTACGCATTGTTCCCAGAGTAATAGCTCTGTCGTGTTTCTTTTTCATTTATCAGATTTGTTGCCAGATCAGGTCACTGGTATGTTCTTGTAATTGTGCAAGAGTTGTGGTTGTCATACAGTCATCTACTGCATCAGTGTTAAACTGAATTTCATAGAGAAATTATTATTAAAAGTAACAAGCCATGTTAGTTATCACGTTTCATCTCAGCAATTTGTAATGAAATTGACACGATAACATTTTCATTTTCATCAATTTTCATTTTACTAAATATCACATTAATATAACTTCTTTCTGTTCTCCCTCTCTCCATAGAATCAGTGTATGACCTTCTACCCAGAGAGCTGCAGTTGCCTTCCTCCACTCAGCAGAACCTAAAAGTCATGAGTCAAAAGAGTGGCGGAGAGGCAGGGCCTCCTCCTTCTGCTTCTCTAGCATCAGGTAGGAACCTGCTCCTCTTTTTCTTATTCTTGTCTGCAAGCAGGACTGATCACGCCCGACCCCAAAACACTGTGTACCTGTAGGCAAACAAACACCTGCATACGACGGGAAAGCCAGTCAGACTACCCGCTTCTTACTCTGTGATCCTCACGTGTGGGTCCAAATAAAAATTTAAAAAACATGTGAGAAGGAGGTTATGTAATTGGAGTGGAATCAACAGAACTTGTCTGCTATATGTACCTGCCTAGACACTGAAATATTTGGTTGAAAAGATTGTTGTGATCTACTATATGTTGTAGTCTCTTGCAGCATTGCAGTTTTGAAATGTTGATCACGTGCAATGGGTTCACAGTTATTAGAGCCCTCTGTGAATTTTCCAGTTCTTTTAAGTGTTGCATTATCGACGGCATGCATGCAATGTAAGAGTAATTGATGGTTTAAACTGAACACAGTACACATAATGATGCAAGAGCCCAGCTTATATGAGTTTTGCATGCTCAGCACAAAGTAGTTGGTTGTTTAAACTGTTTTGTCACTTTTGTTTAGATAAGTTTGAAGTTTTGAGTGGCTGTGTTATGTATTTTGCACTTCCAATTTGGAGCTATATTGTTCATAGTGGAAAATGAAATTGCTAAAGAGACACAATATTCCAGAAATAAGATAAAGAAAACCATCCCACACCCAGCAAAAAGTGGAGGCAAGTGGGACCATGTACAATGCAAGTGTCTTTAGGCAGCAGAAAGCGATTGTGTGATTGATCAACAAAAACCTGGTCCAAACTCAGTTGTGTAATAATAGTATACACCCACATAGACGGGTGTACAACAATGCTAATGACTCTAATACTCATCTTTTTTTTTCTTTAGCTCTTTAATATGTTGCTATTGTGCATTGTTGTAGTCAAATTCAAAACATTCCCTGGAGAGGCGACTTTGATAAATAATTAAAGGCAGAATATGATGAATAATGGGCAGTGGTACAACAGAGGCTAGATTACACAACTGAGCAAATTGGAAAACTGACTCTGGGCTCAGAAACTCCATGTTTACTGTGCATCAACTGATTGATAGCAACTTGGCATGTGGTAGGATACTATTTAAATAAAAGAAACTGTGTTGAAATCAAATTTTAAGACCTTTTAATAGTTTTCGGTATTCCTGAATCAATCTATCATGTTGCCACACAGCAAACCTGGGGCCAGGTATATACTTCAGTGTAAAATAAACTAATAATAATAATAATAATATACACATGACGCAGTCAGGTGAGGTTGCTGTTGTAGTGTGTTTTTTTATAGCCACAGGTCACACTATCAGGTTTATACAGCCACAAATACAACAGTAAACAGGATGCAATTTGCCATTAAGTACAAGAAGTACAAGAAGAAAGGAAAAATATGCCTCCGTCCTACACCCTGAAAAAAAAGAATGTCGGCCCAATGAATCAATAATGGACTGTAATATTTATTAATGTATATAATTTATATAGCCTGTTTTCTCACTGAGAGCTTGAATGTTTTTAGAGTAAATGGCAGATAAGACCGGGACAGTCAGACAGGATGGAGCATTTTCTATTACTTGTCCATATTTTGTGGTTGCCATGATATGTGATCATATATGTCTTTGTGTCGTGACACTTGCTAAAAATGACACTACCTCCATATGCATTGTATGTGCTTGTTTTTCTTCCCGAATGTGTGTTTTGCAAACTAATGAGTCACCAAACAATCCAGAATGTCAACAGAAGTCTAACTCCTTTTTTTATTACGATCTACAACTTAACCACACCTTTCCCTGCTCTTCATCTAGTTCACCATAACTATTTGAATGCTTTTGAAATTACAGTGTATGTCAGCATGCTGGAGCAGCACCTTTTTGACAAAGAAAAAAAAAATACCCTGTGTTATTGATATTTTTTTTCACTGATTAAATTTTTTACTGTTCAGCTCTTATTGCTCATTCGCTGTCTCATTTTTATATTCCAGGAAGTTCCCTCTGAAGCAGGGAGTGTCTGCATATAAAATGGTCTGCAGTTCTCTGCTTCATAGGTCAGAAGCTTGTTTATTTTGTCTCTGTGGCTACGTTCAGTCCCAACGAAAAGAACTTATGTAGCAAAAAAAGAAATAAACAAAATAAAACAAAACAAAGCTCCAATAATTGGCATGCATCTTATTGTGCACATGAACATTTTGAACTTCCTCTCCATCTTACCATTTTGGCTCATTTTTCATTCAGTTGAACATGAACAAAATGCTAATAATAATGATAAATTCATTCAGTTGTTAGATTTTTTTAGTTGTTAATCTACTCACAAGCATTTTTACTCTTCAGTTTTTTAATTAGGGGGGCTGCTCACCTCTCATCTCTTCTTTTGCCCCTTTTTAATTTATAACAATACTATTATTCACACACTGTCCACAGACACATATATATAAGATCCTATAAAAACAGAAAAGGGAAAATTTAATTGGATGTGTAAAAAATACTAAACAAAAGCAAAAAATAAACAATCATGAACACATTTTGCTGCTTAAATGGGACTGCTAGCCAACACAGGTTGAGATGCCTTTATTCACTGTCTAATCATTTGCACTGTAGATGCCATGTCCATGGAAGGCCCCCGCAGTGCTTTTTCCACCTCTTCCAGCTCCACCATACATTCCAGCTCTTCAGCCAGTGACCAGAACCCAGTCCACAGCAACAATGTTGACCAGGAAGATGCCAGGAATAGCCGTGTGGTACCGGAGGTTGTCGGAGCAGAGAACGGGAATGGCAACGGCAGTGGTGGCGGTAACTGTAGGGGGAGCAGTGAACTGGGAGCTGGAAGAGGTGCAACATCCCAGGAGGCCCAGTCACATCACCAGATGACCCCGTCTAAGCGCCGCACCGTACTGAACATCTCTCCCCCTCCGCAAGACTTGTTTGATGACAGCCGCATGTCCTGCCAGAATGAAGCCTCCCTGGACTCAGAGCAGAGTAACAGCATCTGGATGGATGACTCTCTCTCCAACTTTAGTATCATGAGTAGTGTTTCCTACAATGACAACACAGAGGTACCAAGAAAGTCCCGTAAACGTACCCCTCGACAGAGGCCTGGACCGAAGGCTGTGCCTGCAGGGGAAGCCAGCATGGACGTGTTTGATGCAGACAGTGCTAAAGGCCCGCACTTTGTCCTGTCACAGTTAGGACCTGACAACAAGACAGCATCAAAAGGAAGGTTTGTGTGAACTTTATTTGTATGTAGTTTGAAAGACTTCATCTGTTTGATTTTTTAACGCCCATAGACTGTATATAAAAATGGACAACGTGACATAGCTTGCTCCCACTATCCAGAAATTAAACCAAAATATCAGGGATATGATCACAGCCATCACACACTATGATGTCATTTGGAACCAGAGTCAGCAAAGAGATGGAGCTGCAGCATCAAAGTCCCACTGATACACACTCTCGACCAATGGCAAGTCAGCCTCACCCTGTTTTTTAGCAACTAATGAAAGAAAGAGAAATGAATGCTTCAACAAACATCACCTAAAATGACTTCTGGCCCATGTCCCTTCAACTAACATGGTAGCAGCGGGGTTTACGACCTATACTGCAACCAGCCACTAGGTGATTATCATGTTGTCCATCTTTACATACAGTCTATGTCAAAGTGTCCAAGTCATGTCCCTCTAAATCTCATGTCGTTCTGACATTGGTAGTTGTAGCATTAGGCTCTTAAATAGATACTGTCTTCACTTTCCCCCTGGATAGTCTCACACAGCACTTATCCTGATTGTCAGAATAGGTTATTATTAAAGGCCACACAGACACACACACACACACACACATCAACAGATGGAAATTAACAAACTACACTGGCTCTGGATTTCCCACCACACTTGGACCGAAGAGGAGCGGCCAGATCAGAGGGGAGGGAGGGGCAGGATACTGAAGTACAAACAATGGTCAGCCACAGTGAATCACAGAGCCCCTCTCAAAGACCTAGGATAAGCAGAGCAGATTAAATAAACAGATAACTCTGAATGCTTTAAGAGCTGCAGATAGAATATGCTTCGTTGATGGAGGGCCTCTTAACTCTGCATTGCTCAGTGCACCATGGCAACTTGCAAGCCGTTTCACCGTTGCAGCTACAAAGCAATTTTCCAGCATCACACCCCAGAACAAATTTCAGCCAGATATACACACACAGATATGTATTATTTACAGTGTCATGTTGTGCCTTTCCTTTTGACGAGTTGGGCTCTGAACCTAAAGATTTGTGCCAATGTAGTAAATGTACTACAGTAGAACTGTTACAAATGTCAGAATTAGAAGTGATCTCTGACGTCTCTGTTAAAACGGGTCTTTGTTGCAGCTCCGACAATCCTCAGGCAGCTAACCATAAAGGGGGGACTCTTTCGATGCAATACCCACCGAAGAGTGAGGGGAAGGAGCTGAAGATCCACATCCAACCTGAGACTCAGCACCGAGCCCGCTATCTGACTGAAGGCAGCAGAGGGTCAGTGAAGGACCGCACGCAACAAGGCTTCCCTACTGTAAAGGTGAAGAACTCTATAGTCAGAGTTTCAGCTTTTCTGATTAAGTTGAGTTAATGAATGGATTATTTTCAGAGGCTTTTACATGTGTATATAGGATTTGCTATACTTGCAATGTTATGTTTTCATCATGTTTTTAGTGGTTAGCATTTTGTATCATATTGTGTTTGTTACAGTGGCCCTGAGAGCTACATGCAAATAGACACACTTGTAAATGGAGAAAACATCTTCATCAGTTTGACATGCGTGGCGAATAAAGAATGCACTGCAAATACTCACAACACGACCAGGTACTCACTTTGGTATATATTTGGTTGTGGTTTGAGTAATTTCAGGGGTTTTATTTGCTGTGTATGTGTTGTCAAATTGATTAAGCTATTTTCTCCATTTGCATGTGTTTTTTCTATTTGGACATTTTCTTAAATTGAAGTGCATTGATCTCTCAGGGCCACCGTAGGTTTGTGCTTCTAAGTGTTATTGTGACATTGTTGTGGCAGAAAGGTTTAGACTGGATTTGAAGAGCCCCAGCATGTTAAGGCTCTTACCAAAACAGTTTCACAATGAATCATTTAAATACAGAAATCTGCAAGTTGGATATACAGGAAACTTCATCTTTCTAAAACACCACTGTGCCTCTGTAGAGGTGGAACTGAGAGATGAAGTGATGATACCTCTGTGTCCTCAGGATCATAAAGGATGATCATTAATTTAGCCAGTTTGTAACTCATGCTGGTCCAGTAGGTGATTTTGAGATGATTTTGAGATGAATCTGGAAAAAATGAATCTGGACAAAGCAAAGTGTGAATTGTGCTATCCCAGCTTCTGGCTACAGTCAGGGCAGAGCTGTTGATTGCACAATAAAGTGGAATCAAGCTGGGCTTATAAACATGCTACGACTCATAGAGGAAGATGTTGTAAATGGGCAGAACACGAAAGGTTTGACTGGTAAATGAGAAGATGCTTTAAAGCCCATTAGGGCATCTGCTGGAGGTAGGGAAATACACTTAGTTAACATCTGCAAAACAAGGGAAAGGTGAAGAGACACAGGAACAAGATCATAGCTGCAAAAGGAAAGGATGTTGAAAATGATCTGATCCTTATCAGACTTATTTTGAAAAATTGCGGATACATTTCTTGTTTCTAAGTAACATATCAGATCCAGACCTTCTCATATAGTCGATGCATTTTTAATCCCTTGTCTTTTTTCACTTTCACAGCTGGAGGGTGTGAACGAGCCAGTTATTTTACAAGTGTTTGTGGGCAACGATACCGGGCGTGTGAAGCCTCATGGGTTTTACCAAGCGTGCAGGGTGACTGGCCGCAACACTACAGCCTGCAAGGAGGTGGACATTGACGGCACAACTGTCATTGAGGTTTCCCTTGATCCAAGCACCAACATGACACTAGCGTATGTACTGTTCTTGAGAAAGAGATTGGCCAGATTGTGTGATAATTTATGTTAAACCACATAAAACAAAGGCAATGCAAGTGTTGCTTTAACTGCATGTGCACAGTTATACTTTACAGTTATACTTCACAGATTTGTCATTTACTTAATTAAATGTGCATGGACTCCTGTGAGCTGTAAAGTAGATACTGTAAATATATCAACATTTTGTTTATCCCCAGTTAACATAAACCGTTTTCAGACATTAACATGAATTCCAGACAGGAAAATGTTCAGGTCAGACACATTTACAACAACAGAAGTAGAGCATATAACATATAATTTCTTTTACAGCACATGGACACTGTCATCGGCCCTTATCGTCTTAAGCTCTCTGATCCGATTGTCTTTCCAAGTTGGCATCTTCGTCAGTGTTTTCTATGTGCATTTCTTTTTCATTCTGATCTATTTGTTGTGTTTTTTCTTTATTTTGCATCTGTCACGTGTTAGAAATTTCATCAACACTCTCAATCACTTGTGGTGAATATTCTGGACAATATCCTGCCGTTTCCTCACATGGGCTCTCTCGGGAGTCTTTTTCCTGTTACCCTTGGTAAAAGCTCTGGAGAATGTCCGAGAGAGCCCATGTGTCCAGAGGAACTGACTCGAACATTGGTGTTCTCATGTACAGCCATAATATAATTTCAGGATAATTTCAGGAGAGTAGCTGGAGTTCAGTGCTTGTCTGAAAGCAGCTATGATGACACATAGTAAGATGCAGTGTGTAAAGTGATTTTGGCAAATAAAGTTGTTTTACGTTGCTTCTCTGTGCAGGGTGGACTGTGTCGGGATCTTAAAGCTCCGTAACGCTGATGTCGAGGCTCGTATTGGCGTCGCTGGGTCCAAGAAGAAGAGCACACGCGCCCGCCTGGTGTTTCGGGTCAACATCCCCCGTTCAGATGGATCAATGCTCACACTCCAGACTCCCTCATCTCCAATCTTGTGTAGTATGTCAGCCTTCTCCTTGTATTTATATCTGTGGTAACAGTTATTACATGAATTGATACATTGTTTCAATCACCAAGAAATAAGCTTAGTTTGTTTTTGGACAAATTCTGATGTTTTATTTCTCTTAATGAAACAAATCTTAGGGTTAAACAAACCGACCTAGGCCTACTTACTTAACAATCACAATTTATTCTGTAAACTGAGCCATTTTCTTCTCTTTTAACAGGAGAGGCCCTGTTTCTAAAGTTTAGTGTTGCCCGGGGTCAGAAAAACTTTGTTGTCTCTTGATGTTCGCATTCGGAGACAATGTGTAAAGATTCCTTCAGACTCAGGTGTTATTTAATAATACGTACAGTATGAGGGTGTGGTTGGTTTCATAAACAGGAAAGACGCTTTGGGCCATAAGAAAGTTTTTGTGTAAATGGATTTGGGAGAGACAGGGGAGAAAGAGAAGGAAAGGACAAAACAATAGAGGTGTGTGGACTTCTATTGTTTACACGGAGCCAGCTTGCTAGCCAGAGAAATATCTTTCCACAAACCCCCCCCCAAAAAAGTAATCCCCTTAGCGTGTGTGAGTGTTGCTGCAGAGAACTGAAAAGAGTTGGTGAAATGTATCAGAGGAAAAGATATTTGAGTTTCAGGATCATAGACCTTATATAAAGAACTTTGTATACAGTCTGTGATCAGCATATACAAAGCTCTTTTGACCATTTTGAAAAATATCAATAATCATTTATTTTAAAAATTGCTTTTGACCATATACGCCGGGTGAAGCAAAGGTCTCAAACTGCAGTGCTGGTATTGTTTGCTTCATAAGTAACAAATAATAAATTCATCAAAGGTTAGGGAACATTTTTGGTTTTAGTCATTTAAATCCAGAAAAAGGAAACATCTTTGCAGAATCCATGGTCCAAGAAAATCTCTTCAGCATTTTAAAAGTTCTGTTGATGACAGACTGAATACTTCATACATATTTGCACTGATGAGAGAGAGTTCAGCAAAATCCTTTAGAATCGCTGTGAAACCTCAAAAAGCTTCAACTAAACACCAGAATATAAAATGCATTTATAACATTTCTTCTTTGTGTTTTTGGTTCAACATTGCTTTGTTTTTGATAAATATTATCAGAGAAAATCTATGAATATATCTGCGTTAAATTTGAATATTAAACATAAGGTAAAACTTTGAAACTAGATACCATTGTGTGATGAGTTCACACGCCTGTCGACCACACCCATCTTTGAACATGGAGTTCATTTTAAACATAGCTACATACCTAACATCACGTTTTGTGACTGTACCTTCCACAGTTGACAAATAGACATCTGCTCAATCAAAAAAGAACATGGTGTACTGTTAATCTGTAAACGTTTGGATGCATAATCACATTAAAACCTGTGATAAGCATTTAAAATTGATCTGGTGCTTAAAGAAAAAAGTAGCATTGATAGCCGACACATAAAGTCACATAAAGATCTTGGTTCTCTCTCCCCTTTTTCGATTCAACCAACTCTGTATTTGCTCGGTTTACAGCCCAGCCTGCAGGGGTGCCTGAGATCTTGAAAAAATCACTGCACAGTTGTTCAGTGAGGGGCGGAGAAGAAGTCTTCATCATCGGCAAAAACTTTCTCAAAGACACCAAAGTCATATTTCAGGAGAATGTTTCAGGTGAGAGTCTTGAATGCTTTTTTCCATGGATATTTTTAGGTTCTTCCATTTTTAATTTTTGTGTTTGTGTCCCTGGTCAACCTGAAACTTGTTCTTCCTTTCAGATGAGAGCTCGTGGAAGGCTGAGGCTGAAATTGACATGGAGCTGTTTCACCAGGTAAAATCTGATTGTTTTTGTACCAAATGATTAATCTATTTCCTAAAGAGCTAAGTAGATAGAAGCAGCCATTTCAGATTTGTATGGGCCTTGTAATCATGTAATCACCTTAAATAGCTGCTGGTTGAAAGGTTTGAGTAGTCTCATTGTGTTCTGACCTAATTACACACTCAGTGTGGACTTGAATGTCTCAGCAGTCCAGTTTTAAACCTTTGCCCTTGAGAACAAAATGCTCAGGAGTAGATGAATTGATATAAATCTTTTGTTTTTATTGGAGGCACACTGGATTTGTGGGGGGGCATACATTATACACAACTATACGTACTCAAATATCTCATTTTCCGTGTTTTTAAAATCCTGCACCATTGATCACTGTTGATAGCTCATTCCTTTGCTACCTCTAGTTTCGACGAATACGAGAACAAACGTCTCTTCATCTCCATGCTCGTGATGTGCTGTTAGAACATGATCCATTATCATAGTGATGACCTGCTCAGAAACTCATTGTTATTGTATATTCATTCAATGTTTTCTAATCTACTCCCCCTTTGACTCAGATTAGATACATGCACATAGACCTACTGCTGTTGTACTGTTGAAACTGTTCATGTTGCTGACTTTATTTTTTTTTTTTGCTTATCAAGAATCACTTGATAGTGAAGGTTCCTCCCTACCAGAATCAAGCCGTCACCTCTGCAGTGTACGTAGGAGTCTATGTGGTGACAAATGCTGGGAGATCTCACGACGTTCAGCCTTTTACTTACACTCCAGATCCAGGTTTGTTTCATTTCCATTTCACTTCATCTACAGTACATATACGTTTCTCTTTATTCATCAGTCAATTGATGATATGGCCACTTTGTTAAATAGAATATAACCTGATTACAAGGTCATTATTTACATCTTGCTTAATGACAAGAGTGTGATGAAATATTATATATTATATTTATGAAGGTTTACATAGATTTTCCTTTATTGTTGACTCAAGGAAATCTGTTTACATTTGCTCTTCCAGCACAACATGATGTTCCTGTGAAGAAAGAGATGCCTTCTCCAGTGAAGACTTGTACTTTTGATGAACAAGTTAAAGGTTATTTTTCACTTTGTTAACTCATATACACAATCACGGTTGTTTACTTCAGTAGTGTGTATTTCAGAAGAAGCATATGTATACAAAGGGATGGAGTTTTGGAGTCGCCCATCAGAATTTATTTCCATCTAAAGCTGTTTACTCCTTATATACTGCACTGAATGTAAACTGTACAGTGTCGACACTATTTCACTTTTTTAGCTCACAGCAACAGAGACATTTTTCATTAAAAACATTTTGACAATAAGTTTTAATATGTAATTCAATATATTAATATGTTCCCTGCTCTTGCTCCCACAGTTCTGGATAGTGCTTTATTGCCCTCAATGTTGCCTTTAGTGAAAAGAGAAGACATCACTCCGATGGAAGTGACCAGCAACCTCCAATCTTCTGGTGTTTATAAGGTGATGTATTGATCTGTTGCCTGAATAAAGGCCTCAACCTTTACATAGTGAAAACAATTGAACTGTTTTGGATGTGATTAGATATTTCAAATTACACTTTCAAAAAAATGAATTTACCTTCATACATATCCTTAAGAGAATTGTTCTTGTGGATATAGGTTTAAAATGTCATAGTGATGTGTACTCTAAGACAAAACACACCTTTTACCCTCTGTTTTGTGTTGTCAGCAGACTGGTGACCTGTGTCAAGCCCAGCAGAATCCAGACATGGCTGCAGGACATCTAAATAAAAACAAACCCTTCTCCAACAACCTGTCTCAGGCTGCAGGTGACCCTGACAAAGGTCAGGCTTCTGTTTTTACCAACACTGAGTCCCTGAGCACCATCCAGAAGCAGGACATTGCTCCCACCAGCTCATTTCCTGTGCCTCCAGACTCCCTGCTCCAGCAAGGCTCCCAGCAATTCCTCCTGGAGCCCAGAGAGGGCCGCGGCCAGGAGAGACCAGGCAGTGGCTCTGGAGTTGTGGGGAGGCTGTGTGGAGAACCTACACCCCAGCAGCAGCAGCAGCAGCAGCAACAGCAGCAGCAACAGCAGCAGCTGCCACTGTTCCCTCTAGATGAGGTGGCCCAGCTTGAGGAGGCAGTGAGACAACTTAAAGCCAAAGGGTTCTGTAACTTACCTCTTCAGTCTGACAACTCCATGGCCAAACAGCAGCAGCAGCAGCACATGCAGCACCAACAACAGATCCAAAAACAGCAAATCCAGCAGCAACAACAGCAACAAATGCAGCAGCAGCAACAGGTGCTGGAGAATTTACAGCAGCATCTGTATCAGTCACAGATTCAGATGCAGTGTGGCATGTTTCAGGATGCCACCCAGGGCAAGAACTCAGAACAGCAGGGCTCATCACAAGGAGTGGTGCCAAACCCGGGATCTCTCTTCCAGCACCCGCAACAGCAGCAGCAGCAACAGCAGCAACAGCAGCAACAGCAACAAGCAGCTCTCTTTCAACAGGCAAACGACCTACTTTCTATTCAGACCAACTTCCTCCAGCAAACACCCTCTCACCCTTCACCACCCATGTTCCACAACCCCAGCTCTCTGGCTGAAACACAAGATCCACAGGGGGCTCTATTTCAGAAGGCTTCTCAGGAGCAGGTCCAGGCCGCTCTCTTTCAAAACACCATGACAGTACTACAGTCTTCAGAGCAACAGCCCGCAACCCCTGGACTTTTCCTCCCCCAATCCTCCCTGCCCACTCAGCTCACAACCAGCAATTCTCAACAACAACAACAGCAGCAGCAACAGAAGCAGCAGCAGCTGGTCTTCCTCAGTGCCCTACAGTCCCCTGCACCTGAACCACAATCAGTATTTCAGGCTCAGACCCAGCTCTCCCCCATCCAGCAGAGGAGTCCCATGGAGCAGCAGCCGCCCTCCCAGCCTCAGACCCACACCCAGCCAACCCAGCAAGCTCCCTTATTCCAGAACATCTCCCCACATCCACCTGCAAACACACTCTCTCCAGGCCAGCAGCAGCAGCAGACTGGCCTCCTGTTCTGCAATAACACTCTGTCCACCCCAGACCAGGCCTCCAGCCTTATGTTCAACAGCCAGGGCCAGATGCCACCTCTGACCAGCAGCAGTCTGGTTTCTCAAGAGCCCCAAAACTCCTCTCTGCTCTTTTCACAATCCAATCTGGTAACGGTGAACCAGCAGGATCGCTCTGAACCAATGGCCTTGGGGAACCCCACCCATCCACGACAGCAAGTCATGTTTCAGGAGCAACAGCCCATGCAGCTGGGCAGCAGCTCAAACAGCCGGCAGGAGTTGCCGGTGGGCCTCTTCATGCCTCAGTCCAACATGGCCTCTCTGCAGGGGGGACTGGCTCAAGAGCTGGCACAGTCAGCCATGTTCGCTCCACAGAACGGTGTGACGAACCTTCAAACGACCACCCCCTCCCCTGTTCAACAGCCAGGAACGCTCTTTCAGACGGCTGTGAGTGGGAGCATCAATCAGCCCAGCCAGCCTCAACAACCTGGCCTGTTTCTGTTTGGGATTCAGAATGGTAAGGAATCGATAACCTCGGTGTACACAGTAAAACTGATGAGATGACAGAAACGTATACAACAGATGAACATGTTTTTTGTGGTTACCAAATAACTATTTGTACATGAAAGGTGTTGCTACAGAGAATTTTAAGTCCACTTTGCATTTCCTCTCAGCTCTGTGTTCTCTCATCAGCATTGTTTCCAGATGCTGCAGACAGCTGTTTTCAACAACAGAAATTTTGGAGAGTTACACTATCACTGCTCTGTTTCTGCTTAATGTGTAAAAAGACAACTGTTGCTAAGATGTTGGCCACATCAGCTGTAAAATTGATGTCAGTGTTGTGTTCTCAGCTTGTTTCTGCTGCCCCCAAGTGGCCATAAATATGCTAATATACTTTTAATGAGAGTCATATGACACATAGAAGATAAAACAGTTACTACATAGGAAGGCACTGCGTGAAAAATGAAATTTTCAGTTTTTGTTTTATTTATTTTATTAATATCCTTTTTAATTGTACCAATGTATTTGTCAATTATAAATATAAATATTTTTTGGCACATTTTCTTTCTTTCTTTCTTTCTTAGTTACCTGCTTATTGCTGTATATTTTCATATTGTTTATAAATAATTATTTATCTTACTTCCGCCCTCTTCAAAGTAAATCATTTTTCATACCTTTTTGAAAAGTAAGGTTAGGTCGTCTAATGTGGCAAGAATTAAATATAATCAACAATTGTCCTTTAGAGGAATAATTCGACAATTTATTCCCGAATACATTTTTTGTCTAAACAAAAGACTAAACATGAATGATCCATGATTTTTCTTAATGAAATAGATGTGAACTACGGGTCACATCAAAATATTTCTTTTTTTCATGGTCATTTACTCTCTTTGTCTCACCCAACTGTTTGTGCTTCCTCACAGGATGTGGCCAGTTGATGAATACTCCTGGAAACACACTGTCGGATCAGATCATAGCCATCAGCCAGTCTGGTCAGAACCAAAGAGAGAGTGATGCTCGTATCCAGTCTCTACTCAATCAGTCCCTGTCTCAGTCTGGGACTGTGCAGAACAGCATGTCCGCATCGCAGAACATGGAAAAGATCGACGACCTGCTGGTCAGCCTGCAGGAATCCGGCAGCAACTTAAGTCGTTCATATTAACTTCCCTACATTATTCTTTTACTGATATTATGTATTGAAAATGACACACAGGTAAACGCATATGAATTTGTTTTGACAAAATGTGCATGATGTTCGTCACCAAATATTTCTCTAGCCTACTCACACATAATTTAGTCTTCATTAGGAAAAAAACTGTGAAGGTGAGCTCAACATTGTCATGGCTATGGCAGAATACGTTGCTTAAAATCAAACTGGAGAAATTAACGAAGATAGTGAACTAGAAATTTGTGTTGGACTTTCTTGGCCGAGCAGTTTGACCAAGAGAGGCGAATATCTCTTTAAAGACTGACTGACTCCCCAATGTTAAAACATGCATGTGAAAACTGAGGTGGACTGTAGATGAGAACTGTGAGAACATTTGTCATAGCTGTCTGATGATGATGGATGATGAGGGAGGTGAAATTTAGGCCAAATTTTCGTTCATATATCTTGTGAATTTTTGTTAATATCATATATATATGTAGATTGTGAGTCGTGTTGTTTGGTTGTCATGGTGTTTTTCTAAAGTGTTCTCCAAAGTGTCCGGTGGTTCCCGTGAATAGTGTTCCCTTTAATACTTCTTTCGTAGTTTTGTTGTTGTTGGATAGAGGGTGAAGCGCGTGGTACGGCAGGAATGTTTGGAAGGACTGTGGTATGAACGGTTGAATACATCATAGATGTCGAAGATATAATCGCTGTTGACGGGGGTTTGAAATTTGAAATATTCCCGACAGTGCGGAAAGTGAAGAGAAGGTGAGAGGGGAAGAGCGGAGAAAGGAAACTGAGAAGTAGAAAACGAATAGAAACATTTCTTGTCTTATGTGATGTGTAGTCACAAACATGTGTGTGTCATGTATGTGGATGCTTATTATTTCAATGTTGCAGCAGCTAGCTCACACCTGATGATATGAATGAGTTCACTGTAGCTGTTTCTGAGGCCACAAAGTGACGTAGGTTTTCATTGATGATATGATATAGACAGAAACTGCCCTCAGTCTGTGTCTAAGAACTTTAAAAACAAAAAACCCAAATAATAAAGTTTAGGCCTGTTTGGTACAGTAATAAAAAAAAGAATCTTTGTCATAGAGCAAGTAGCGATCAGTAACACGATCCTCACCTGCTCTAAAGCATATCTTTCTATATTAGATATTTTGCCGTCACCACAGTGTACACATAGCACTTTGTAATGTAGTATAAATGAACAGGCTAACATTTAGTCTGTATTCATCAAAACCAAACTGTGTCAGTTTGATACTATTTACAGCTTAGTCTCCTTTGAATACATTAGGAAGAAATAACTCTTTTAAGAAAGTGTAGTGGTAGAAATGTAACAAATAATGGCTGATGTGTTTGTTTGCTTTTTTTACATGTATATTCAGCACTTTATGATGCTGTGACGACTTAACTCATCCAGGGTACACTACAGTCCCACGAGAGGTGGCTTTCCTTTTTTTTTTTAAATCTCAGCCACCTCTTCCTCATTGTTTACAGTGAACAAGATACATTTCCCATGTGTTTGCATGGCAACGCTCATGTAGTCGAGCAAACTCAACAAACATATTTCCACTAGAATTTAGTTTTGAGATATTATATCATACAGTTAAATTTAACATCTCATTTCCAGCCATGTTACAACTACTACTTTTCATTCCCAAAACTAAGTGCGTTATTTATATCCGGAGAAAAGAAAAGTGCTTAGAAAATCTGGACAAATGAGGAAAGATGTGGTTCAAGACATTTTTATTCAAATGCTGTGATTTCACTCGACTTATTTAATTACATGCATCTACAGTAGAGAGAGAGTAGAATGTAATACAGTATATTAATATTATGTTTTTGTCTTAAGGGTAGGATGGATTTGTGTTGTAGAGTCATTTTGCGTCAGGAACGCACGAACTGGAGTAGTATTCTTAAACGAGCCGTTTTATTCAAGTGATGGATTTAGTTGAATGTTGTCGTTTGTCGGCTACAACTGTACATTATGTTTCTCACCTGGATCAACGTATTAACATGCAGTAACAGAGCCCTTTTTTATGTTTTCCTTTAATTGGAAACTCATCTACAGATTTAATGTTGGCCTGTGGCCTCAGGACCAAAGTATGACTCCAATACTGCTTTGCATGAATCCTGATGACAGGCCAGTTTTATGGCTCATGAGTTTGTGTTTGCTTTTATTTTTTCCTACTTGCAATTAAACTTATTAGAAAATCATAGACAGCCTATTCTTTTCCCTCCTAAAGATACAGATTTCATTGACGTCACTTCTTTCTCTCTGTTTATTGTGTTTTTGTGTCGTATGTGGTTTTACTGTACGTGTGTGTGCATGAACAAGGGGCTGGTCTCTGCTGATGACAGAATTGGCTCAGTTTAATGCATTGTCTTGTTTGTCTCTGTACAGTTTGTCAGAAACTCATAAACACAGTTACATTTTATACACTTTTCAATCAGCGTGTTTTTGTGACTTGACCAATGTGATTTGTGGAACTACAGTGTGTTGGTTTGAGCAGTTAGATGGTGTTTTTTAAAGGGACCCTACTCCTGAAGGAAACCTGACTTTGGAGAAAAGAGCTATCTGTGATTGGCTTTCTTCAACTTGTGAAGTAGAAAAATTGAGATCTCCAGTGTTGAATATTTATGATTTTATTTGTTTTTGTTTGTTTTACAGTTAGTTTTTTTCTAGTACCTGTTCCTCGTTTTGGAGAATCTAATTTATTTGTGTGTTGGTTATTATCTAAATTGTTTCCCGTAATCATAGTTCTCAATGTACTGATGAGCCCCCACACTCTGAATGATATACATTCCTATGCACAGTTGCTCCTTTGTGAATCAGTATACAACTTAATGAACATATCATATCATGTGTATGTTCGAGACTTTTAATTGGCCCTTAAGTTGTGTTTAAAGTTAAAAGCAGAGAAAAATTGCACCGAACTTCAAAAGTTTAAAAAAAATAGGACCAACAAATTTCAGTATTTTTACTATGACTATAATTCTAAATGTGATTATAAAGCGTGGCTGTAAATGCTTCGCTTAAGTTCCAGGATGTTCTTTTGTACACACACTGGGGAGGTAATTACTTTTTTGTAATTACAGTTTCCTCATTTGTTTATTTACAATGTAACTGTAGATCAGAAATACACGAGTGTTACTCTTCATACAGTCTTTACTAATTGTATGTAAAAGAGCAGGATTGTTGATAAAAGTTCTCACTTTTTCCAAGAAGCTACAAACTAACATTCACTGTTTTCCTGCAATAGAACAAGACGGGGCTTGTTATTAACATTACCAGTTCATTTAATACCAACAAACTGAGTTTGCTATCACAGGTTTTTTTTTCCTAACATGTCACTTTAGACACAAATATAAGCTGTACATGTGCCTTGAGGAGATGTTGTAGTATCGACCAGATGTTTTACCGTTGTCTGTTTAACAAGCCGCTTGCCCCTGTAGGCCGGTGACGATTAGTCCTCATTAACTAGAATGTTTTAAGCCATAAGACTTTAAGTGTGCTTTAAATGCTCAACAGCAGTGACCAGATAAATGTGGTTGTGGTTGTTACATGTGTTGTGCAATTCCTGTCATGCATCTTATTTGTTTGTACTGAAGTATCCTTTGCATTTATGTTACACGACGTAGATGCAGACAAACTTTTTCTCTGAAACTGCTATGCAGCTAATATACTGTAAATGTAGATCTGTTAGTTTTTGAATATATATTTTTCTATATATGGCCTCTCCTGAGAAACCAAAATAGATGTTCTTTCTATTATTTATGTTGCTTGTTGAAATGTTTTCTGATGCTTTAAGTGCCACCTGAAACCGATTAGAAATCTTTCAGTCAGTTGAAATTTAAATTTCTCTTTTCAACATTGATGTTCTTTTCTTTCTTTTTTGATTCAAAGGTCACTAATTGTATTTTTTATTACATTGTTTCTAATAAGGTGAATGTGGTGGTTTGTTATATCCAGGCCTGTTGTTTATTGGTGTAGTGGTTCCTTGTCTTTATGATTTCTCTCAGGGCCTTGGAGATATCATATATTCTTATTCTGACCAATAGCATCAATGCATGATAGTTTTGTGTAATTTAACTACACATTCTGCAAAACAATATTCAATGTAATTTATCCCGACTTTGTTCTGAGTCTGACATTATAATTTTCCAAAAATGTGCCTTTTCCAGATCTCTGTAATATCGTTAAAGTCCATTCCCTTAACACAAGAGAACCACTTTACCAGTAAACAGCTTCTTTTAGTCCTGGAAATAACGAGGGGGAAATTTAGTCTTTTTGTTTCTAAAAATGTGAACAATCGTCTGATAATCACCCTGGGGAGAAAAAAATCTTTCTATATATTTGGCTTTTGTTGGGACATTTGTTTTTTTCTCTTGCAAATACACTTTTGTAAACTTGCTGCTATCTCTATTAAACATATACACGTTCAATGTTTGGCCTTTGAGTTTTTATTTCATGATTTACTGCAGAAGAGGACCTGACTGTGCCTTCTACCAACAAACAAAATGTGTGTAATCAGAAAACGTAACTTCTTTCCAGCTTGTCTGTCCTTCAAATAAGCAAGTCCCCAAATCTTGTTAAATAGAATAATTCAATGTTTTTTTATCTATCCGACGTCTGAAAATATTAAATGTCAAATTCTGAACATGCAAACGTGGCTGCCAGTGCAGTAAGTGAATTCCTCTTAATGAAAGGTCTTGCAACTTTTTTTACCGCTGAAACTCCAAAGGTGTTTCGTGGAATCAAATACCTTACTGAGGTTTCCATTGGCATAGTGGTTAGAAGATAATGAGTGGATTTATTTGGGTGAACCATCCATTTAAGGTCAAGGCATTGTCAAAACACTTGGAATGATAGGGAAACCCAGGACAGGCTTGTGTGCGGAGTGTAAGGAACAGGAATTGGTGGAGCATGTGGTTATGAGTTGTAGGAGGTATGGGACACAGAGGGTATAATGAGGAGGGGTCTCAGGGAATTAGGGGTCTCATGATAGGAGGAATACTGAGTATGGAGGACAGATAACAGGTGAGGGTACTAGTAGCATTTTTAAGGGATACATGGTTTTTTTCTTCTATTATTCTATTTAGAATATAGGACAAGATGTTGAAAAACCCAGGTGTTATCAGCCACCAGTAGATGTTATGACTTCGGTTGTCATGAAGTGTTTTGACCTCGGAATCATCGATACAGGCTTAACTTGAGGGTGAACCAAGGTCAATCTGGCTTGTATGTCAGTACTATAAAAGCCATGTGGCCCACTCAGTAGATCAGACATCATTACTTCTATGCCTTTTTGAACTATCTCTTCTCTCCTCTCTTTTCCACCCATCTCTCCTCTCCTCCCCTTTTTCTTTGCTCACCCCAACCAGTCTAGGCAGATAACCGCCCACATTGAGCCTGGTTCTAGAGGTTTCTCCCTGTTCATGAGGGAGTTTTTCTCTCCACAGTGGCCAAAGTTCTTGCATTGTGAGAACTGTTGGGTTTCTCTATATTAATATGATTTTAAGGTCTTGACCTACTATGTAAAGTGCCTTGAGATAATGTATGTTATGATTAGGCGCTATACAAATAAAATTGAATTGAATTGAATTAAACTATACTCTTTCCCATTTTAGAACATAGGACAAGATGGAGAATATCCCTTGTACGTTCTACCGCACCAATTAATGCCTACCACCAGCAGATGTTAGTGACCACCAGCAGATGTTAGTGACCACCAGCAGATGTTAGCAGATGTTAGTGACCACCAGCAG